AGGTATAGGATGTAGCTTAGTGGTAGAACATTTGTATAATACACATAAGGCTTGGGATTCCATCCCCAGCACCAATAAATAAATAAACAAATGTCTCAAATTTATTTCTGTCAAATCTGTCACATGTTTTACATCCTGACTTCTAAGTCATTTTATTTCCATTTTCCCCTCTTCCCATGTGTAAGCAGAAAAATCTTTTAAAAACATAAAGCACATGACAGGCTTCCCTGCTCAAGCTCCTCTTATGGTGTCCTGTCACATTGATGACACAATCCAAATCCCTGCAAGTGGCTTATAAACCATGTATACACTAATCCTAATCCCTCTTTACTGGCTCTCCTAATCACTTCCTACACTTTTGTCTTCCAGCATCCTTCCTGTGTGTTCATTATGTCCAGTGCCTTCCCACTTAAGGGCATTCGTAATTGTTGATCCATTTCCCATAAAACTTTTCTGCCCCAGGCCACCAAATTGGTCAGTAGCTAAAGTGCTTGCCTTGAAAGCCTGACAACATGAATTCATCTGGAAGATGACAGGCAACTCCACAAAATTATCCTCTGACCTCCATATGTGCACTGTAGCATGTGGGTATCTGAATTCACATGTCATACAAACATGCAACAATAATAAACAAAAATTGTTTACAATCCTCTGCCGCCTCACTATTCACATTCAACTGTTATTGTTCCTCAGAAGAGCCTTGGTTAAATCAAAATAAGAAGTAATTTCTCATATTCTACCCATTACTCTCAACATATTACCCAATCATCTTTCCTCTACAACATTCCAATCTGTAACTCTCCTTTAATTTGTTTATTGTTTTCCTCCTCTGACTGCAAAGTGAGCACTACAACTACAAGAACCCTGTCCGTATTTTTTTTCATAATCTTCTTCTTAAGATAGTGCCTGTCACAAAGAAGAATGTTTATGAAATGATGGACACATACATAAGAAAAGGGAACAGATGTTCTGTTGGCTACAATCAAGTTGTCAATGATACTAGCATGATAACTCGGTATAGGAAAACACATTTCTACCAATTAGGTCACCTCTTTTTTTCTAATGTGAAAGACCATTATATTTTGTTATTAGCCTAAGAATTTTTCTTTGGTCTATTTCTATCCTTAAACTAAAAATATATTGCTACCACTACTTCTTTTACCATCTGTCCTATATTATTAAGATAAAATCAAGGTCAGTAAGTTCCAAATCTTTACATTTTGCAATTTGATAAACTTTGTCTTTTTAACTTTATTAATGTGTGTGTATATATATATATATATATATATATATATATATATATATATATATAT